CTAATAAAGTCAAAACAACATTATCTCCTTGCCCAAAACCCCTACCAACATCTTACAAAAAGATATTACTACTGATAATATCACATATAGGGGGGCTGGGGATTTAGCTCAGCGGCACAGCACCTGCCTGGCAAGCGCGAGGTCGTGAGTTCGATTCCTAGTACCGGAAAAAAAAAACAACAACAGCAACAAAAAAAAATATCACACATAGGCTTCACTTTCTTTCTTTCTTTATTTTTTGGCAGCATAGAGATGGAGCACAGGGCCTCCCACATGCCAGGCAAATGCTCTACAACTAAGCTATGTCCCCAGTCCTCATCACATCCTTCTACTTTGTATATATCTCCTCCATCACACTTAAATCCTTTTTGAGGTAACAGGAAAATGCCATTTGCAGCCAAAATTCCATACATTCAAATATCTCTTTTGCTATTTCCAGGCAGGATGGAAATAGCCTTAATTTTTTTTTTTTTTTTTTTGTCTTTTTGACACAGGTGTCAATATGCAGCTCAGGCTGGCCTTGAGCTCACTTTGTAGCCCAGGCTGGTCTCGAACTTGCAACAATCCTCCTGCTTCAGCCTCCTGAGTGCTGGGATTACAGGTACGCACCATCACGCCTGGCGCCTTAATTTTTTTAAACCTCATTTTTATCTTTTTTTGAAGACAGAGTGTTGTTATGTAGTTGAGGCTGGCCTCAAACTCATTATGGAACCCGGGTTGGCCTGAAACTTGCAGTGATCCCTCTGCCCCAGCCTCCTGAGTGCTGGGATTACAGGTGTACACCACCACACCAGCCTAATTTTTGTCATCTTTGAAAAGGAATAAACATACTAATCTTGGAAAACAGCTGTGAAAGTCAGAACAATACACAGAAAGTTCCTGGGGCAGAGGTTACTTTGAAAAGGTCTCTGAACTGATAATAACCTGTCATAAAAATGGCTGATACATCTTTGATTAGGATCCAAAGTACACTGTTTATAGCTCCATTTTCTACCTGATTTACTGTTACTACTGTCCAAGTACCCTGAGAGAAGGCTATGCCATGACTGGTCTCTAAAATTGCAAAATTTGTGGTCACTTTTGTCTCTCCCTGTCTTCCTTCTGCTCCTTCAAAATATCTCCTTTTCTCCTTTCTTTCTCTCTCTCTCTCTCTCTCTCTCTTTCTTTCTTTCTTTCACTCTGTCTTTTTGGGACAGGGTTTCACTATGCAGTTCAGGCTGGCCTTGAGCTCACTTTGTAGCCCAGGCTGGTCTCGAACTCTCAACGATCCTCCTGCCTCAGCCTTCTGAATGCTGAGATTACAGGCGTGCACCACCAGGCCCAGCTCTTTCTTTCTGTACTGGAGCTTGAACCCAGAGAGTACGAGCTACATCCCCAGACCTTTTCATTTTTTTTTATTTTGAGACATGGTCTCAGTAAGCTGCCTGGGCTGGCCTCAAGCTTGTGATACATTTTCCACTTCCTTCTCCTCCCAGTGGTTATGTCACCTTATGTTGGGATTATCTGCTTAGAAAATCCTTCTGTCCCCTGCCCTCAGTTGCTATTCTGCTCAGGCCAAAGTGCCAACTCACTCCACCTTTGAATTTACCTGTCCACCTCTGACAGGTGGATTATCTTTTAAATGCCAGTCCTGTCAGGCCACCTCTCTGGCTGAAAATCCCCTGCCCTGACCCTGCGGCTGCCCTCTCTCCCCAGTCAGCCCGCCATGTTGTGAGGCCTGCTCTCCGCCACTTGGCCAGGCTGCTGGATTTATTTTAGGTTGGGCCTTTCACCCACATGCCTTTCCTGTCTCTCGAGCTCTCTAATTTCTTTGAAGCCTTCCACAGAGACCTTCCAGGGACCTCTCAGCAGTACTCGCTCCTTCTTCAGGGTTAGCAGACAAACAAAGAGAGGCTATTTTTGGCTTCTACTTGGCCCTAGGCCAGAGTCACCTATTCTGTGTCAAAATAAGTTGCTCCAGGAAGCCTGCAATGGCCAAAACAACCCGCAGCCAGGGTGAGACACCAACAATGTTAGCTCACCTTTGTCCAAAACCCTTACAGACATCTTACGCAAAGCACATGCTCCAGGAAGAGCCCTCCACAGTCTCAGTGTCTCTTTGCACTGAGCTACATCCCCAGCCCCCTTTTTTATTTACTTTGATATACAGTCTGGCTACGTTGTTAAATTGCCGGGGCTGGGCTTGAACTTGTGATCCTCCTGCTTCAGTCTCCCAGAGTGCCCCTCTTTTCTCCCTTCCTTCCTTCCTTCCTTCCTTCCTTCCTTCCTTCCTTCCTTCCTTCCTTCCTTCCCTTTTCTTCTCCTGTTCCTGCTCCTTTATTCCAGCTTTGGGGATCAAACCCAGCAGCCCTTTTTCTGGCGTGAGGGTCCCCTTCTGAAGCCCCAGCAGGGACTGGGCTGTTCTGGAGCTCTGATGCCCCTTCCTCTCAGCACACAGCACAGGAGGTGTGTGGCTGCCCTTCCATGGCCTCCCGGGCTGTGAAGACCCGGGCTGGGGAGGGTGGTGCCGTCTCCTTCCCAAGGGGTTACACTCCAGACACGGGTGATGCTTTTCCCCTCTGAAAATCTCTGAGCACAAATGGGCATCAGCCTACTTACATCTGCCCCTTAGCTCTGGGGCTTATGATGCCACAGGTGGGCAGCACCCCAGCACCCCAGCACCCGCCACAGCCTGCTCCCACCCCGGTCTCTCCAGGACTTCTGCAATGTGGGCTTCTCTTCCTGCCCTGTCTTCTTACTAAGCTTGGTGAAGCTCAGTGTTTGTCCACTGCAATTAAGAGTCCCAACAAATATAAACCCATATTCACACCATATACAAAAATAAGCTTTTGAGGGCCAGGGATATAGCTCAGTGGCACAGCGCCTGCCTTGCAAGCACGAGGTCCTGAGTTTGATTCCTGGTACCAAAACAATAAAATAAAATAAACTTCTACCCAATTAATTTGTTAAGTGTTTAAAAAGCACAGAAGTATCAATAGGACACATAGAACAAGCTCTGTATAACTTTGGAGTAAGACCAACCTACCTAAACATTGCATAAAGTTTAAATAAAATTTTATTTAAAATACTTCTCTATGATATATAGAAATATATACACTGGGTGCGGTGGTGCACGCCTGTAATCCCAGCAGGTGAGAGGCTGAAGCAGGAGAATCACTACAGCTTCAAGGCCAGCTTGGGCTACACAGTGAGTTCAAGGATAGTCTGAGCCACATAATGAGACTCTGTCTAAAAAGCCCCAAAATAAATAAATAAAAACATTACCAATATCCTATGACAGCAATAATGTTGTCATAGGAGAAGACAGTTATCTCTCATACCCACTGGTGTAGCCTTTTGGGAGAATGATATCATGGTATCCATCAACATTTCAGGTGAATATATCAATTATCTTGGCATTTTGCTTCAAGTTAACGACAGAAATACTTACAAAAACACACAAAGGAATGTGAATAATCGCGTCAAGTGTCCACCCAAAGTTCCAGTCCTCAAATGCCAATCACTAGGGACTGATTAATTAAACTCTATCGATTCTGCAAAATGCTATGCAGCTATTAAAAAGAAGGGAGTCAAGCTGGGTGCAGAGGCACACACCTTTAATCCCAGCTATTTGGAGGGCAAGACAGGAAGACTGCAGGTTTGAGGCCAGGCTGGGTAACTTAGTGAGATCTTGTCTCAAAGGAAAAAAAATTAAAAA